CCAAGCTGGTCTCAAACTCCTGAGATCCACTTGCCTTGGCCTCCCAAAGTGCTAAGATGACAGGCATGAGCCACTGCACTCGGCCTGAATTATGTCTTTAAGGACTCTATGTCCAAATACAGTCACATTCTGAGGTACTTGGGGTCAGGACCCCAAAACCTGAACTTTTTGTGGAGGACACAATTCAGCCCTCAACAATGCATTTAACTGATTATTGCCCATCTCTCCTTCTTGGATGAAACTCTAGAAGGTCAGGGACTTACAGTATCATTTATGTATTATATTTTATGTATTTTGTAATAAGAGCTCAATGAACATCTGTTCAATGAATCAAAGAATGCGTGAATCAAGTCTGCTGTGGTGGTTCACACCTGGAATCCCAACATTTTGGGAGGCTGAGGCGGGAGGATTGTTTGAGGCCAGGAGTTTGAGACCAGCCCGGGCAATGTAGAAAGATCCTGTCTCTACAAAATAAATGAAATAATTAGCTATGGTGGCTTGCCGCCGTAGTCCCAGCTACTCAGGAGGTTGAGGAGGAAGGAGGGCTTGGGCCTGGGAGGTCAAGTTTGCAGTGAGCTGAGATCGCGCCACTGCACTCCAGCCTGGGTGGCTGAGACCTTGTCACTAAAAAAAGAGGAAAAGAAAAAAAAAAGGAATGAATTAGGGGAGGAATGAAGGGGAGTTCTTGTCTCAATGCTTTCCCACCTCCCGTTCTATAATGTTGGGCTGCGTGGAGCAAAGAAGGGGCTTTTAAATCACAGCATCTGGGCCGCATTATCCAGCCCCTAATCAAAATCACAGTGAATGGCCGGGCGCGGGGGCTCAGGCCTATAATCCCAGCACTTTGGGAGGTGGACGGATCACCTGAGGTCAGGAGTTCCAGACCAGCCTGGCCAACATGGTGAATGCCCATCTCTACTCAAAATACAAACATTAGCCGGGCGTGGCGGCACGAGCCTGTAGTCCCAGCTACTTGGTAGGCTGAGGTAGGAGAGTCTCTTGAACCCGGGAGACAGAGGCTGCAGTGAGCCGAGATTGCACCATTGCACTCCAGCCTGGATGACAGAGTGAGATTCTGTCTCAAAACAAACCAAAAACAGTAAACAAACAAACAGAAAATAAACCACCAGAGTGGGGCTGGGGTGCAGGGAGGAAGCAGGGTCAGGCGCTGGGGTTGGGACTCCAGGACTGGAGAGAAGCAGGACTCCAGGGTCTGGAGAGAAGGCGACTGGGATCCATGACTCATGCGTGACTCTCAGACGGTCCTGCATGACCAGGCCCCTGCCTGCCTCTGCAATCCCATTAACACCTCTCTCCCCCACCCCAACTCTCCTTGCTCCGACCACACTCAGCTTTTCTCTTTTCTCCAAACACTCTGTGCTGCGTCCTACACAGGGCCATCGCGTCAACCCCTCCTTCTGCTCAAAACAGCCGTTATTTCGTTTTGAGCATGACTGACTTCTTTTCATGCTTCAAGTCCCAGCTCAAATGGCTTTTCTCGACATCATCCAAAGTCCCTGCTCCACCCCTGGGTGCCACTCTCTCTGTTTCTATTTCCTTCCTCTCATGCATCACCCTCTGAGATTATCTTGCCTCCTCATTTGTTTATTTTGGACATTGCAACCTGGAAGCCTGCAAGCCCTCGATGGCCAGGGGATGTGCTTTGTTTGCCAGGCAGTGTGTAAAGATTTCTCTGAGTTGACGTTTAAAGGTTGGAGGAATTCCCATAAAAATAATAATCATTTAAGCAATTATAGGCCTGGTGCGGTGGTTCACCCCGGTAATCCCAGCACTATGGGAGGCCAAGGTGAGTGGATCACTTGAGGTCAGGAGTTCTAGACCAGCCTGGCCAACATGGTGAAACCATGACTGCTAAAAATACAAAAATTGCCGGGCGCGGTGGCTCAGTCCTGTAATCCCAGCACTTTGGGAGGCCGAGGCAGGTGGATCACAAGGTCAGGAGTTC